GAAGCAAGGGGGTCCGAGCCGAGGTAGATGCTCTGGCTCCCAGCACACGTTGGGGTCTCTCCATGACCACCGAGGGGATCCTGAACCCCAAAGCGTATGAACCCCAGCAGCCAACAGACAGGCTGAACCACCCCATGAAACCCCCAAACATCCCCTGGGAAGCAGCCAGCAAAGAGTCCCCCTAAGGCCTAAAGCAGAGGCAGGCAATGGGGAGGGAAGGGGGGATTTGGGGTGCTTGCTGGCTTCAGAAGGGGGGACCAGCGCATCCCGGCCTGCGGCGCAGTGGGAGGAGGATGCTGCAGGGCATGGGGATGGAGACAGGACTCTGCACCAGTGTCCTCATGGGCCAGCACCGTGTTAGACCTCAGGAGCAGCGAGCTGGAAAGGAAGCCAAGAGATGCTGCTGCTGCGAGGGGACAGGGCTTGGGGGGAGCCGCCAGCACCCTCCACCCCATGGGGACTATAGCCCCCTGTGCCCACCCATGCCTGGAGCAGCAAGGTGAAGGTTCTGGGGTGCTCCCCAGACGGATGGGACGGGACATGCAAGGGTTGGATGGTGCTCCTAAGAGCCAGAAGCAGAGCTGGGGCTGGGCTAAGTGGGGCTTGCTCTGCTCCTACATGAGGCTTTCTCTGCTCCTTTATGGGGTTTATTCTGCTCCTACATGGGGTTTGCTCCACTCCTGCACGGGGTTCCCTCTACTCCCTGGGGCTATAAACTCACCTCGGTGTAGCTGGGTGGCTGGGGCAGCTCAGCCGATGGGGCTGCCAGGGCTACCCGCGTGGTGCTGGGCACAATCAGCATGGACTGAGGGGAGGAAAACAAGCGGGTGTAAACCAGCGCTCTGGGTCCAGGCAGGGCTCAGCCCCACCACCCTTCACCCCCTGCCCTACCTCGTTGGAGCTGAGGCGAGTGGCCCGGCACCAGAAGTTAGCGGTGGCCACAGCGATGCAGAACTCCAGGACGGTGAAGATGAGCAGCACGATGGAGATCCCATTCCCTGCGAGCTCCAGGATGGGGGAAAACCTCCATCAGCAGCCCCCATAGAACCGATCCCACCCCCTATAGCGGGGCTCCCTTCTCCATCTCCCCCCCATCCCGAGC